GAGTATCATATGGCACTGCAATCACTACTATGCAAGTGCTATAAGTGAGAATCAGTGCTGCAGAGATGGAGAGAGCAAGTCTGGCCAGGGATAACTAGCTTAAGTTGCTAGGCAACCTAATAATCTCAATGGAATAATCCACCCATAAAGCATATCATAGATAATAGAGTACATAGGGATTGGAAACGGGCCGTGGCAATAAAATTAGAGTAATCTATGATATATCTAGTTATATCTATGATTGTATTAACAATAATAATGGAGATTAATGCTTTAGTGAAATTCTCTAACAAGGCAAATTCCTCATTGAGAATGACTGTTCCTCCTCTCCTGGAGGATACTCTTAAAGATCAAAAGAAGACATTGATTGATAGACACAGAAAAGAACAACCACACAAACCACTACCAATAGTGGAGTTTAGTCATACATAAGCCTATATATATTGTTAGTTAGTTTATTAGAGCATTGTAGACTGTAGTGTAGATAATCCTTTTTTGTTGTGTAGGTGATCTTTATATTTTAATAAATAAAAAGAAAAAGATAGTTAAATATTAATATTTTATTTATTTAATCCATTATTATTATTATTATTATTATTAAGTTGTTGTTTGTGATGTAGTATTGATTTTGATGATAAAAGATTATGAACACCTCTACCTCTCTATAAAAAATAAAAATAAATAAATAATAGTAATAATAGAAAAGGTATGTTCATTACAATAACAACATTACATATTCATGTACATGTAACTACATGTTCCTATGCTGCAGGCTCATAATGATACCATTCATAACCAAACACTGGAGGATACTACTACACATTGAGAATATTAACAAGTACTTAAAGTGTCCAGTGGTACATACTGCAGTGCATACTGATGAGTCCATAGTTACCTCAATGTTACTCCTCTTAGCAGGACTATTAATACCAGGACTGGTACATACTAATGTACAGTCCAACTTCCTCTTACAAGTAATCCTATTCACTGATGAACCTATCACATTATTTAACTCTTGAAACTCCTAGAGAAAGGGAGAGAGAGAGAGATTAAAAGCAGTAATTATACAAACACTTTAATAACTAACTGATGCTGGACTTTTACTGACTACAAAAGTTTTAGCAAGTGGAGATAAAGCAGATTGACTATCTGGAGAGAAGAGAAAAAAACAACAATGATAACAATAATAATAATAATAATAATAATAATAATAATAATAATAATAATAAAGATAATACAGTGTAGTATCTAATCACCTTTAAGAGGTGATATAAATATTTGATGTCCTTTTGCTAGTTTCCGTGGTGACATAGCCGCTCTCTTTATAACAGGAAGAGGAGACAGTAACAATTCATTAGACTATAGAATAAATAATAATTAATTATTCATTAACTCATTAATTATTCATAGCCTAAGACCACACCCACCTCATCTGAGAACTTTAATA